ATAATCGTGATTCGATCGCGATTTCGCATAATATCATTTGCACTCGTTTCTCTCGAAGTCGTCTCAAACGCGACTACGACGACAAAAATATGCTCCTTACGAGGAAAACTTTACAACTGAAAGTAAATTAAACTTACTCTAATTTCATGTGACTTAATTATCGAACACAAATTAATTCAAAATATAAGATACCATATAAAATCCCTGTCATTTGTATCAAAATAAACTATATTATAAATTGTATTATATCATTTCCTGCCATAAAACTAATAATCATATCATCCTAACGTTTTTCGATTTCACATAACGCGGAATCTATTTTCATTACAGAGGCTCTCATAGTATTCGTTCAAACGACTTTTCACCATTAACTCCTTGCGTTATGATTTATTTCTTAACTATGATCGATACAGCTACCGCATCGCTCGTCATTTATTAAAAAAGCAAAGATTTTTTACGTTTATTCTATATCTATCGTTACCCAAAGGTTATCGACCAATAGAAAAGTAATATTTAACTTTCATTCGAAACAAATAACCCTAAGATTTCTCAAACTCCCTTGAAAATCTTTATCGCGAGTCCGACGCGATATTCTAGGTCAACAAGTCTGCCATTACTTTTAGTTTCCTATTCACCACAGGTGGTCCACGATAAAACCCCGCCAACCAGTACCTTTTTCACGATCCTCCGTCGTCGCATCGATCGCATCGCCCAGCCACAATGCAACACACGTCCACCAAAGTGAAACACGGATTAAACACGGCACCCGCTAATATTCGCCTGAGACAGTTCAGGTATCAAACTCGCACGACTATGTCCGCGCACGTGCAAAATCTGCGAAACAATCACGCGGCGTGGGGCTCGTAAAGCGTGTCGAAGTAAAATATTTTACTGGTCTGATAAGGGGACGCATATCCCATTATCCGCAGTACGTTCGGTCCGCAGAGGAACGGGTTTCGAATTGAACCGGCCAAGTTATTTAACGGAATGAAACGCGAGCGGAAAATTGATCGTTACCGGCCGGCCGGCTGGTGTCGCGGAGCTATCCGGTATCGGGTAAAATAAATATCATCATCGCCTACGATACGCTTATTCATTCGTCCCGGGGTAACTGTAACAGTTATGAACCCGGTCCCTAATAAAATTTAATCGTCACCGCGTTCGCGTGGCGATCCCGCGCCGATAAATTCGTTCCGACGAGGTTGGAAGGCCGCGCCGAGAGGCAGCGTTCGCTCGGCATTTTTCCGTGGAAATACGTTTTTGTCCTTGCAACGAATCGCCGCCGGCTCATGCTCGTTCCCCGTCCCGATCCCAATGTCATTACGCCTGTCCCTGGCAGGGGATCGCGAAGAAGAACTGGCTCGATCCCTGCGAGGTGCAAATCACCGCACGCCGCCTGGCAAAAATGCAGGTGCAGCAGGTGGAATAGACGTTGGGGTTCACGGCACCCACGATAAATTTCACGATCCCGCGAGCCAGATACGCGAGAGCCTGCAGGGGAAGAGGTTCCGAGGAGATCTTCTGCCTCGAATATCGCTGGCCTTCGCCACTCGTTCCGAACAGATGAGACGATTTGCATCGGGAATCGTTACTTCGGTCTTCTCGTTAATTTTAGGAAGACTGACGCAACAGTTTCTGAATTGATTAAACTAACGAGCACCGAGGTTTATCGGGAACTCGAATGGCTGCGATTGGTAACTTGATTTCGGGAAATGTTGACTTAATCAGTTCACTGCGTTGAATGAGTATACGTTATCTTAAGGCTTGGAATTATACTAATTCTCTCAACGATGATTTAGTTATTTTTTCACATAAACTATTCATCTTTGGTTTGCTTTAGCTTTTCGTTAGAAAGTATTATAGACGCATTTACTCTGCGTTTGACAATACTTTAATGTTTGATTTTATTGCGCGGGGAATAAGAGATTTTTTAAACTGAGATCCACAGTCAACAGGATAAATAACTAATAACACAGTTCGATATTCATATTCTAAGCTATTGCTACCGTTCAGAACTAATCACTCAAAAAAAAAGTCAATAGCCTCGAACAATACTCTAAACAACTTACTCTAACGATCACAAATGATCATATTCCCTATTTTACATTAAAAAATACATTCTAAATACACTATACCTTCAAATGTCACAATAGTCCTACATCCAAGCCTCGGACAATACCCTAAACAACTCACTCCAACAATCACAAATGACCAGATTCCCCAGTTTACGTTCAGAAATATAGTATAAATACGCCATACCTTCAAACGTCACAATAGTCCCATATCCAACACAGTTAGCTGCTATATCCATCAATACTAATACCCTTAAAAATGTCCTCGGCTTCGGACAATACCCTAAACAACTCACTCCGACAATCACAAACGATCAGATTCCAACTTTTATCCGTCCATCTGATCATTCCGATCACCTCAAGCGTTCGAACAGTTTCCACTTGGTCTCGTTAGCGAGGATTTAACCGCGGGACATCCAGCTAACCTTGGCAACGGACTAAGATTGAAATCGGCGGTTTCCGGTTCCCACTGATCCCAAGCGAGCCGTGACGCTCGCTGGTTTCCCTTCGGGGGAAACTAACGGGGAGGCCGCGGTGCGTGTTTTCGTGGCCGATCGTTTGATTCTTCGCGATACATACCTACATACTTGCATACCTCTGCGTACGGTTCCTTGTTGCGCACGTGAGCGCACGTGGAAGGCGGAATATCCCCGTGTTTGCTCCTAATTAGCGTGGCCGCGTTACTACCTCTCGTCCTTCCGCCCACGACCGGTTCGTTTCGTCCTACCCTTTATCCGTGTTCCACTATTCCAGGCTTCGCCCGTGAATCCTCTTCGGTCGTTCGCGCGGCGCGCGCTCCTTTGCCGGATCCCCCCCGTTTCTCCTCCGATCGCTCATTACACACCGGCTCCTTTCTTGTGTGTACACAGCGCCGGAATTCGAGGATAATAATTGAAGCTGTTGCCGCTGATGTACCTAACGATCCCCGCCGTGGATCCACTTTGACAAGTTGCGCGCGATACGTATCGATTCTTGCGGCACGGTGCACGCATTCGAGATGGTCGCCGGTTTCTAGTAAACCACTGATGTGATTTAGTCGCGTCGCGTTACCTTCGAGCTGCTACGGAACCTATTGTTCGGATTAATTGAGTTTAGAAATGTGCCGAGAATCGAAGGCTCGTGCTGGGGACACGTTGCACGTGGAGAATTATGGTTTATTATGTAACGTTAGAGAGGGTTAGTTTAATTATCTTGTACAAGTAATTGAGGCGGTTTTTATTGTCATTGATGTTTTATGTTAAGAAATCAATCTTCACTGTTTGCAGTCAAAAGTTTTCCAGTAGCAGCAATCCTCTTTTGCTGTGAGATATAGTCGATGTTTTTTCAACTAATTCGAGAAAGTCACGTGCAAATTAAGGAACAAAGCTATTTTGTTCCAACGCCTTGCATATTGATGCACTATACTCAGTTTATTTTAACTTCTTGGACTACTTTAACTCGAAGAAATGCGGATTATAACGTTAGATTTACGGATATTTACTATACAGTTTGTTTTATCGATTTTAGAAAAATTGATATTTGTTCATTTAGATCTTGGGAATTAGAGGTTTGAAAGTAGATCATTAGGATTGATATTAACTGCAACAATTAAAATCGACCCAAACATTTACCAAATAATTTTATAAAATTCAATGCAAGTCAGATTAATTCGTTCCGTAAATCTAGTGTTAATTATAGCGATGGATATCTTACTCGTGACAATTATATTCGGTCCCAAATCGTGATTACGAAGACTCTTCAAAATAGTACAGGGGATTAAATATCGAACTTGATAATTTTGCTGTATTAAATTAAGTTGTAATAATCGCCTTTCAAATTCAAAGTGTTAAGTACACTTTAGTACTTCCAATTTGTGTAACATTCGTTTCACACCAGACAACAATGACCTTCGTTTTCTTACACGTTCAACAATCCCGATTCCCTTGTAGCCGCACGGATAATCTTCAATTGTTGCATGGTGAATGGAACCGTGCTCGATGCGCACGTCTGTAGGATAATTGCCCATGGAAAAACGAAATTCTGCCGGGCAAAATGACATATTACGAGTTCTCGGATTGCCAGATGGTAATCTGTTGCGGCCACGCATACCGATGCGAAACGTGCCAGGCACTCTTGCATAATATCGATAGATACAGATGCAGATGCAGATACAGATACAGATACAGACACAGATACAGATACAGATTTAAATGTAGATATAGATATAGATATAGATATAGATATAGATATAGATATAGATATAGATATAGATATAGATATAGATATAGATATAGATATAGATATAGATATAGATATAGGTGTAGATATAGATATAGATATAGATATAGATATAGATATAGATATAGATATAGATATAGATATAGATATAGATACAGATACAGATATATAGATACAGATATAGATATAGATATAGATACAGATATAGATATAAATATAGATATAGATACAGATGCAAATATACACTGCCAGTCAAAAGTTTGGAATCACTTTATATATAACGTTACAAACTAAGAATGATATATCTTTATATTTGACGAATACACTTATGTCCATGTTCCTCGATCACACACAAAACTTCTCCAATAAAAGTTGCTTAGAAAAAATGGTACTTTTCCCTGTCCCAACCTTTTGACTGACAGTGTAGATATAGATACAGATATTGATATAGATGCAAATATAGATGCAAATACAAATACAGATACAAATAGTGGTGAACGTAAACGAATATCCGCGGTCCAACGTAGTTCCGGCGACGTGTTCAATGACGCATGCGCATCACGATTTAAACCGACACGCTCGATCGAGCGCCGATTGAAAGTCCTCCCGATGATTCTAATGTAGGTCGGTGCAGGAAGTAATTTCGCCCGTGTCGCTGCCTCAGCGCTGGTATCGGTGCAATAACTCAGACGTTGCCATTCTTTTTTGCAGAGCTCGAACCTCGGTCAAGAGTTGCTGGACAGAGTGTTCAGGCATCTGAATTTATTGGAGACCGCATACTTCGGGCTGCGTTACTTGGATCACGGCAATCAGACGGTAAGATTACTGTCTCTCTAATAACTGGACTGCGGATTTCCATGCTCGAATGCTCGGTCGCTGGGAAAGTTATGCGGTTTCGTAGCCGTACGAATGAATCAATTTACCAGGATGTTACCGTTCCATGTAATCTGGTATTATGGGGTGTTGCGTGGATGATGGTTCGACCGGAAATAGAGGACAGCATGTGAAGACGCGATGTAGCGGTGATTTCCAAACTGAGAGGATTTGTGCAAAAGGAGACGCGAAAAGTTTAATAGAAATGTAATTTTCATAATATAATATACAGAGTGTTAATTCTAACTCGAACAACTAAATTATCTTCGTCGTTATTGAAAGTAAGGAAAAACTGATTAAGTAGAATACACATGGTTTTACGGTGTACATTTGACGGCGATAAAAAAATCCTGTGAAGGTTTATTTAATCATTTTTCTTATTTTCAGTAATACCGGAAATTAGTTAGGTGCTCGAATTAAAATTAACGTCCTGTGTATAAGTAAAAGAATATATACGTATAAATGAACTTTCGTGAGATAATATTAAACTTTATGACGTACTTTTTAAGATATTAGCACGTTACAATTAGATTTTCTTTAAAGGAGTGTAGTAATATAAAGTTTGGAAATCATTGTGATATAGTATCTGGATAGTTTGATTTTAGTTTCATTTAGATGAGTTCTGATTTTTAATTAATAATTAATGAAACATGATTTCATGTCTTGTTTAAGAAGTATTTACTTTGCCACTTATTTAATTAAATTTTATTAGATTATCGAGTTCTAGAGTACAGGAATTGGAACTTATTCGTACGCATAAAATCCGCAGTCTATTAATAACTATGAATTCTAATTATTTACAGTACAGTATTCTCTTTCCATAATCGTGCTTTTGTCGACGTCTTGATAAAGGCATCGCTATCTTTATTGTACCAGGTCATTTGACTGCATCATATTCGGCATTATCCAATTCCAACTTCTGCATTCGTTGATTATTCGAATTGGAAAGTTATTTATTTGTCATTTTTTTACCTGAAATAATTATTATTCTGGCTATTAAAGAAAAAGATTACACTCCATGTATTAGTATTATGAAATAAATATTTTTAGCAAATGAATTCCACTTTAGTTAGGATTTTCGGAATAAGCGGTTAAATATTCAAGTGTAAGAAAAATGCTGCAAGAAATATTTGTACTGCTTTTATTTAAATAATTATTTAAAAGCTTATTTAAATAGAATTTCTAACAGAAATACAAGGTAGATATTCTTATAGGATCTAGATTGCAAAAGAAATTAGGAACATTATTCATATTAATATTTTTATATATAAATTACATTTTAAACACAAAATATGGAATATTGTTTCACAATTTCAGTTTTATTTTAGTTTACACCTATATTGGACAAATAATCTATGAATTCAACAGGTAACATTAAGTATTAGTTTTATTTCAACATATTGTAAGGTATGTTTTAAGGTATACAAAGAATGTCATTTCGATTTGAATATGAATTGGAATATAAAATTGGAAAAAAATGTTTCTAAGTAAATGACTAAATTTCGATCATAGTAGCAAACGTTGTTTATGATGTAACGGAGATACCAGTTGAACTTCTTATATTATGAAAGTCATAATAATTTATGTTTCCAGTGGATCATGCTATTGAAAGCAAGTACACTCTACTCTGATATTAGCTTTCTTTTGTTTCGTTATCTCAGTGAGATTATACGTATTAGTTGTTTGAACTAGACGATTTCTGTTTGCCTTTATCAAGCAATGTGCAATATTTCTTGTAATTCCTCTACAATTTTGACCGAAATTTTTGTAAGTATATGCTGTAGAATCTTTTGCTTCCTGTCTAGTAATTACATATTTTTCTAAATCAAATTAAGTCATTTCCAAAATGTGGATTTTAAAAATCTAAATTTCAATTGATAAACACTGAATATATGAAAGGGAAAAGGTATTTGTTTTCATAACGTAAGATAACAATATTCAAGTGCCCCAACATATGTGGAATTTCATATACTAATAATGTTCAAAATTGCAATTTTCTAAATACTGAAATTTGATTTGAGATCTAGAACTTTCTAAACTCGACACATAATGTGATATTTAATACTCTCATCAACTCTCATTTAGTAATTTTTAATAAATGACTTGCTTCTTTTAATTGAAAATTTCCAATAACGTCTGATAAAATAATTTATCTATTCGCGGAAAAATTAATTAAAAATTTGCCCAACACCGCAGCAAGACAAAAGATAGCGATGTATCTACAAGTTCCTATAATTACAAAATAGTACACCTATGAAAAGAGAATACTGTACATATGAATATAATAAACACGATGGTATAGAATTTCCACGTCGAACAATGACCCCTCGATAAATTCTGATTTTAATATTGTAAAATCTACTACCCAACATTGGTTACCCCGTTTCTCACATTTCTTTCACAAGATAGAAATAAGATTGCTCACAGAACGATGGCGAAACATCGTAAATAACGATGGAATGTATCTCGTGGTCTAATAAACCGTAACTTCCAGATGAGTAATACTTTCTGTTTCTGCAAGCAAGTTTTATAACATTACCAAGAGAACCTTCAGCAATATACCGTAATTTATAATTGCATTATACAAACTTAATTAATCATTCCTCAAAGAAGCGTTTGTTACCTTCTCGATGATCATAAACAAACAATCGATGAACTTGTATCAATGTAATTAGTACTGTTAACGTTAAAAAGATCGTAAACTCCACATAACTTGGATTATTTATTAAAATCACAGTGGACTGCACGGATAGCTGATTCTTAGAGTTTTCTCATGTGGCGACAGAAGTCGCTGAAGTTAATATACAGAAAAATGTACAAATGTAAATTCGAAACGCTATTGAACAGATGGAGTCTCATTGCTGATTGTTATGGTTTTCGATCTCTAACAAAGATACTAAAAATATTCAGCGAAACTTAACCCTTTGCACTCGTATGTCACGCGATATACTTTGTCATAGAATGTTGGAAGTTATTCGAAAAAGTACTGTACTTTAAAAGATTATGAAAATAAAATCTTATTACAATGATAATAAATAAAATAAATATAAAACCTTGAATTCTACCGCTGTAAATTGCTCTAACCCTTAACGGAGCAATGGCATATAAGCGGCGTTTCTACTTACCGAGTCCATTATGTATATATAAATCATTTTATTATTTTTATAACTGTTATTGTTGTAATATTTACAATTAACGCATTAAGTATTGTACTAGCTTACTTCTGTGAATTTCTTTTACCTATTGTATTGTACATTACAGTATTTTTTCGCGGTAAGTAAATTTGAAGTACTTCCAGACCGTTAAGGATTATTTCAAAAATATTCTATAATATATATAATAATTCTAAAAGTAAACATAACTTTACACCCGACACATTAAAAATAAATCGAGTGCAAAGAGTTAACCTTTAAAAATATCCCTGCAAACTTCGCTAAGCCGCACGTTATCCCTCAACACCATCGTGTCGGACAGTTCCAAACAAGAATATAGCGAACACTGTAATAAGTTCGACTAGTTTACCGTTAATTAGATTTGCACGGTTAAAAATTCACACGAAGATGCCCCGAAGGTGGTCGATTGCATCGCCCTCGGGGCATAAGAGGATAGGATTATTATCTACGGGAAATGTCGAGCTGCCTGCAATTTCCGGGCCGCTTGATCAACAGTTTCAGGGCGGCTCGACCCGTCCGATCGGCCGGGAGTGAATCATTTACAAGTAATTCTCGACTGTTGTTCGCGGTCTCTTTAGCAATGGCTCGATCCGAGCAAGAAGATCGGCAAGCAGCTGAAAATCCAGAAAGGAGATCCTAGCTCGGATGTCCACACCCTCTATTTCGGCGTGAAGTTCTACGCGGCGGATCCCTGCAAGCTTATCGAAGAGATCACAAGGTCAGTAGATTGAATTTATCGGGTCGGCTAATTAGTCCCTAACTTGCCCTGATGTCCCGCCATTGGAAATAATCGGATCACTCGATACAGAATTTCGTGTCATCCCCTAATCGAGCGAAGATGTTTCCTCTGACGGACATGTTTCTGGACGGTAAACCGATATTCGGTGGGCAACGAGAATGTTCGGTGACGTTGATTGATGTGAGAATTTTGAGAGATTTTTTTTTATACTTGTGTTTTTGTGGCGAAGATGGATTGCGTTGGAAATAATTTTTACTGATTTTTTTTTATATTTATTATATATTTGGTATTACATATCTAGTTACTTATGTTTAAATACTTTTATTCGATGATAGTCTTTTATTGTTATTTTTTTATGCAATGTAGAAGCTCTGATGACAGTTTAATATTTTATTTTCTGAAAGACAAATAGTTTGGTCGTTCTATGTTGAACAGGAGATTAAAAGGTTGTCTTTAAGTAAACATTACTGTATAATTGATATTGCTACGAAACAAATGATGTAATGCTTAGATTATAATCATGTTCGATTGTATTAATGCGAAACCTTAGTTCTTTTCTCCTGGTAAAAAGTTTTCTTCTATTTTCTTCGTTCTATTTGTTGAAATTGGTGAACTCAATCTTTATTGTGCTTCATAAATTTTGAACGGCATTTGAATGTAGGGGTTGCGAAACTTTCGGAGTTTTATGATTAGAATTCCTATTCAATTTAAGTTTATGTTTTGGGTGAATGGTTCAGTAAAATTTGAAATTGCTCCGAACGCGAATTTCAATATCACTCTGTATCAAATTTATTCTTCAAACTGTTTAAATAGTTATTTATCTTCATATTAACCGCTTGCATTCGGGAGACGACTGATCGTCACATAGTTTAACACAGCCAAATTATAAAATTGGACATTTAATATTAAATTTTATATAATGCTTAACTTGTATTTTGAATAATAAAATTATTTGATCATTTCAGATTTTTCAAATTAAGAAACAAAATTATTTTGTATGTTGCTTAAATTTTGCTCTATTTCTCGATAAACTAATTTTGACAAATATTACCTATATCTACAAAAATTCTATAAATCAGAAACCGTGGATATTTCCAGTGAAAATCTGTCGAGTGCAAAGAATTAACACTTATTCAAAGTGAAACTATAATAGTTTACATATTGCAATATTCGAAACACACGTTTCAAACGAGAATTTCCTTCATCGTGTTTCGACACTAGAACTATAGTACCAGTTGAAATAGCTGGTCTCGATTTCTCTGTTTCGCAATTATCGATATCTTCGAAGCATTGAATATTCGAAACGATTTCGAAAATAAATAGTTTCACTTAAATACTCTAACGAATGTCTGAGGGAACTGAAAATAATCTACTATTACAATTTTTATAAAGATTACACATCGGTCGTATTAAGTACTCTGTAATTGTGTTAAAATCGACCACAGGCTATCCCTATGAAATTCTAAATTTTCTTCACTCTATGCTATAACACGACCGTCCAAAGAAAACGTGTTAGGCTTATATTCGTCTGCATAAACTATATCGGAAACTTGTTCCTGGTATACAAGTTCTTCAATGAATTTTAATCATCTTAATCGCGTCGATATTTTATCGTATGAGCATCCGTTTGTTACGGCCATGTATCTTTAGCTAGTCGTCAAACTTCCTGCGAATGTAAATACATACTTGCCTCTACGTTTCCTGGAATTTCGGAGTTATCAATTTCAGGGCATTCAGAAAAGTCTTATGTCTCTATCAGCGAGACTTCTTGTCCAACCAGTTTGTGAAATTAATTCAGCAGTATCTTCATTATTAAATGCCTATCTAATATTTGTGATAACAGTTTCCTGTAATGTGAACGTCTATGTTTATGACTCTACGATTCAACGTGACATTTTACCATGAAAGATTAATTAAAAAAAAAGCAATCTGGATCGTCTATTTTCTCTTTTTGATAGTGCCATGTGCTTATAAATGATGCGATGTTTAGCTACAATCCGGTATAGTATAGTGTGATTGTTACTGAACTCCATATATCTCAGATATATTGTAAATAATTTATTACGAGGAAAATAAGTGAACTTTATTTATGCATAAATAATTAAAGTAAGAAGAAATTAAGATGAAAATAAATTATCAATATATTTTCTATAAGCTGTTTAAAGGAAATTTAATAAATTATAATAAGGTATAATAATTGATGATAATATTAATAATAGTGATATAGTATCATATGTATTTGAAATAAATATTTTAATCGTTTAGTAATAGAACATTTGCTTTCAGTGTTCAGTTATTTTTTAAGATATGATCTTTTTATGCTGTTTCTATAACGTTATTTATTAATAGTTCATTATATTATCTTCTTCGTATACAACGAAGTATTCTACCACGTCAACAAGGAACATACTTACCTACATACATTTGTTCTCGCATTCCTAAATACTCAATATCCGATGCATTCATAAAGTAAGAGAAAACAAACAACGATTTGCAGTACGCCTCACACATATACGTATTACCTACCAGTTGAATGGAAATATCGACCGCACCCTTTGTTTCCTTGTAATCCAACTTTATCTCTGGCTTGTCTTTCGTATTACCAACTTCACCTGAGTGATGCATTGTAGATAAAACGATTACGGTCTTTTGTTGCTTTAGAACAAAAGACACGCACGTGGGATATTTCGATGACTCAATAATTAAAGGTTCTTTTCTGCACCCTTGATGTGACTGAAATGTTATGGAGTGTTGTTTTCCTTTGTTTGCGGTGTCTATTACTGTAAACCTGAGAGAACTGTTTACCATTAACGAATTATTAATAGTTATCCCGTAGGAGATTTCCCCTTATGGAAAAATAGAAAATTATATAAAATAACATTTGCTTGTCCGATGTTTAATTTTTGCAAAAGTCGAATTTGAATATTCACTATGTATGCATTTAATTACAACTGAGATACAGTTTTTCGTATGAAGTACACCGTCCATTTAGTTTATAATCAATACCTACACGATATTCAACGACGAGAGTTTCTAAATTCGAGAAAAATGAAAACAATATTTTATTAACAATATTTTATTATTAATTACTAAAGTACATTCCAACAGATTTTTGTATCTGCGTGTTTCACTTCGATTAGGAACATACTGATTAGGATAGAGTTTTTTATTATGACGAACAGTTTGTACAAATGTTAATCGTACGATAAAATATTTCCAACATTTTTTCTTGAAAATAATAACTCTTAAAAATGTAGGTATTATTTAAAAACAAAACAGAGGTACATCTCACAAAACCAATATTTTAGTCATAATTATACGTATGCATTGTGAATTTTCAGATTTCCTGGATAATTAAATATCGAACAAAACAATTTCATTCTACATTTTCATCTTGTGTTTTTCATGTGTTTTCATTGATAATGAATCACCTACCACTTGCTTGGCACGTTATTTATACGCATCCTGTATACAGTACTCTAATAAACAATTGCAAATGTAAAAATAGTTCTGAGAACGAATGGTTATACTGAGAGTACTCGAAGATCGGTAAGAATCTGTCTACCGATCTGATACATAACTCCCACTAGTTCCTCTATAATTTCTCACCTTCCATAGTACGGTGAACGATTAATCGTGTATGAAACAATGCGGACCTAGAAGGGGGAAGAGGGCAGTGATCGTTATCAATTTTATTACGAGAATCTAACTGCGCCTTTCGCTCTCTTAAGCATAATAACAATATGGAGCAGGAAGAGGAAACGAGGGTGAAGTGTCGAGTTTTTTTTTGCATAGCATTAGAGAAGAAGATAATAACGTGGCCCCCTCGTGATTTTCAATATCGTAACGAAGGCATCTAGTAATTAACGGTGTCTTATGTGCATCTATTAGGATTATATATAGGTAAATACGTTTACACGATATAATGTATTGTTTCCAATGAAGAAAATAATTAATATAACGCCAGAACCGATAGTTTTACGTCGTTCCGAAAAAGAAGTGTTTCTTATAAATTATTTAAGGTAAAGAATCGTGTGTTGGAATATATTTTATAGGTTTGTAGAGTTGATATTTATAAATGGAATTACCTAATCATTGATATTATCAGATATAAAATTATTTATAATATTCATAAAGTTACTGATTTCCAAACTATCCATTATTATACTAAAGTTATTTTATTTTTTACTTTATGTTGATAAATCAACATTATACATACTAACCTAATTTAGAAACAATACTGAGTGCACGTCGTGGGAGAAACAAATATTACAAAAGTTTCGTGTATAAACAAAGAAACTTGTTTTATTTGTTCACTTTTAATTTTAAAATACTACTATATACGATTATTGTCATATATGACCTTCACTTTTACAAAAGTTCCAAAAATGATTTCCAACAAAATTTCCCTTTACCCTCACTCGTTGTCACAAATAATCTTATCAGTTTACTATCTAGACTTCACCGAAAAATTCAATGCAATTCAAATTCCAAATCGAGCCGAAGTAAAATAAGAAAGGCTATCGCACCACGTTGTCGGCTTTTCCTCTACCTGAAAGTGTATCGTTCCATATATCGTTCGTTAGCGGTCGTCGAATTAATGAATAAGTTTCGTGATCTATTCTATCAGCCCCGGTACCGGTAATAGAACGTGCGCGTTGCGTGTGTTTGTAATACGTGCAAGCCTCGGCTCCCTTGTCCCGTGAATACGAAATAGGCGGGCCCGCGCGTGTGTACGTGCCGTGTCACAGACACCGAATGCCTATCTCGTTATCCTTAATGAGTCAGGCTTAAAATTCTCAAAGCACGCCTTAAAATATTTCTACCTCCACGCCGTTCCAGCTTGGCGACGGAGTTAACAGAATTTAAAACACTCCTTCCTTGACATTACACTTGTTCCGGAAGTGACATCGCGCGTCTTTTCATAAGCAGAACTTTGTCTCAGGATATACGGCAGATCGTTCGTTGTTCCTCCGTTACTTATTCGCGTCGTTCGCAAACGAGCACAGTGAATCTATACGATGTTGAGGAAAATGTGGAAAATACTACTTCATGGAAAAGCGTTTGATGCGGTAGAGAGGAACTGGATGATTTTTTGTTTGACAGAGAACGGATAAAGGTATTTGAGTATTAACGGTACGAAATGTACAAGAATTTGTTCAGTTTTGTTTTGAGAATACGAACGAGAGGCGGAGAATATGATTTGTGGTATGATAAAAGGGGGACTTTCATTTTAATCTGATTTATGTCGGTGTACTTTATATATGTTTTCTGTTGATTACCATTTAAATTAGTATGAAAGCAGCTTTCGAAGTGAAATATATGTTTCTTGGAATATTTTAAAGACTAGAACGTATAAGAAAATATTTCTTTAAATGTGTGACTTTGAATAACAAATTTAGTCACACAATGAATTTATTGAATAAGTCATTCACTTCAATGATATACTGAAAGTTTAATATTTATGAGTTTGGGAAAATGTGTCAGTCTGTATAGTGAAACTTAATATTGATTTTTAGTGGACAAGTTTTATCAGTTCTTTTTTTATTAAAATATAATTTTATTGGATGAAGACAAGTAATAGGAAATCGATCGAAATTTAATTATCATAGATAATAAACGTGCAACGTGTATTTTACTGAAGAATTAAACTGCACTGAACGTAAATTTCTACACTGCGCCTTACTGATTATACAGAGCAGCAGTGATAATCAATCGCACGAAGTCCCCAACGCTGATTAGCTAATTGAACTCGATTAAGGGGTAATTCTCATTCTATTCAACCGAGTTCAATATCTATCGTATAGAATCGAGCATAGAATCTCATATCGGGCCGATAATGCATCCTATTATTAATTCTCGCAATCAAGGGGGTCAATGCGCGACTTACAATGACACCTTAAGGTCTACTAGGTGAAATTTAGATGACAGGGTAAGCATTAGGTCTATTGATAGAAATCTATTCATTCGTCAAATATAAAATATTTAATTCATAAAATATATTTCAATGTCAAAATACATTTCAATCGAAATATATTAGAAGTTTCATAAAAAGTTGAATCTAAGTAAATTAATCAAGATTCAAGAAAGACACTCTACGTAATACCAATTACATTTTATTCCCAGGCAATTCCTTACGTTCATTTCTTTCTAAATTATCTTCTAAAGTCCCAAATAATCCTATACGGCGTCAAATGTATAAACATTAATTATATCTACATAATGAAACTATTGTTAAGAAATGTTTAATATTCAGTTAAATGATTAAAACCAAATGTAAAGCAAATTGCTATTAATAGACTGATACACAAAATATCATTGTTTCTCAACTTTTCAAAAAATCTTACTTTCAACATTTCATAAACACCATTACCCACAAAATTACTCAATAAACTCGAATTCAATGCCCGAGACAAATTTTCGCGAATCTAGTTCCTCCGACATAAGAATCGCAACAAAAATTTCTCATCGCCTAAGTTCAATTGCACAGCAAAATATGTAGTCAATAGCAAGTATGAAGAAAAATAACAGACATTCGTCAACCACAGATTGTCTCAAGAGTCCAACGGAATTTTACCCCATAGAGAGCGAATTCGATTCACAGATATATCGTCGCAATTTTTCGCGACTTCTTATCGGGCAACTGAGCAACCTATGCCGCCCGGGGAGTCCCCGATTCACTGTCAAAGTCGATAGAGCGTTCATTGATGCGTAGCAGTCCTTTTAATGGAAGCCCGGAGAAAAATTGGAGGTTCTGCCACCGATAAAGCGTCTCGATTGATTCCTTGTTCGCTGCAGAAAGTTCTTCAACCCCTACGATGCTCGATTTCAGCCCCAGCAATATGCCATTTTCTTTTCCTTGATAAATACAAGTTTCCTTCCACTTCCAGCCAGCGAGATAAAACGGCAGTTTTTTTTCGAGACTATCGACTACACCGATGATATCGAACAACCACTGCGTTATTCGCCTCCTCCTCGACGCATACGGAGTCAGTGAAACGATATCTCCGCGTTCTATCGCAAATATTCGAGTTTCCCTTCCGCGTGATCGGCGCGTTCAAGGATCACTGATTTTTCGTGCTCGAGAGCTTTGCTGTCTGAATGTCCATTATTATACGGGAAGGAAGTGCTTGATTATAGTAATAGCATTTTTCATGTAAACTTACCTTCCGTATTCGGAATAAGTGTATTTGTTGAGTTCATTAAAAAAGGAAAGTGATTTCATTCTCATTTCGCGTGTATAAAAATGTTATTATGAATCGTATTGTTAAAACGATAATATTGGAATAACTTCGTATTGCTTTCTCTTTAATATAACGATTATACTAATAGTTCTATTTTTATTTCACGTATATAAATATGTTGTTATGAATTGTATATCGAAACGATAATGGGTCAGTGAAATTTGTTTAGCTTTCTTTTCTATATAACTTTTATATGCAAATGAATATTATAATTAACATGCACAGAGTATTTGAATATAGTGTAATTTGAATTCGATGAACTGAAATTTTTCTTAAAAATTCCTAAGGTAAATGAAGGATACATATATCACAATGTTGATCTTTCAAGCGAATTTAGATTTGTGAATTTTTAAATAAATTTCAATTTCATTTAAAGAAATTACAACTTGGAGCGTTCGTATGAAAATAAAGGAATTTATTTGTGTGCATCCATTCCGTTAGGTGTACAATCGTATCGATTACGCGAAACAGTGGAGAGCATCAGTTTCCGAGTTCAGTCACATCGACCCTGGCCGTTCTTGATTTTCTTAAAAGCAGCGTCGTAACATCCATTTTCTAAGATCATAAAATTCATTGTGCTTGTCCGGAATGACGTCGTATTAAACGCTTGCCTCGCCGTATAAACTTGCCTGAATCGTTCGATTATGTCAACGGGGAAATGCGCGGAACGGAGGGCCATTTCGTTATTGCATATTTGAATGCAAAGCGGCGTCTTGGGAAAACACTAAAATCGTGCGCTCGCATTACGGTAATCTTCGGCTGAAACTTTTCTATCCGTCATTTTTCTCGTAATGAAATTGCCTGCGTTAGATAAGAACACCTCGAGATTATCTATTCGAGCGTACCCCCATAATAACTGGGATCTCAAGGGAAACCTCAGAAGTTTTTCCAAACTTTACAGCTCTTCTGAAAAGTAACCTGGAAATTCCTTGTTAAATGGATTCACTAGTTCCAGATTCCTGTCGATATATTTATAGAGGATTTGTCTTCGTGGCTGTGAACGGTGTGTACAGAAATTCGCAGTTTCAGAGAAAAACCTGATGCCGTATACAGGTTCTATGGTATTAGAATACAAAGTTACGAGCTGTGATTATCAATCGTTAAAATAACTATCGTATCTACTATTTACATAGTTCAGCTTATTATATTGTTAGCAAGGTAATTTATTTGTGATTCTTGGTATCATTAACCTGGAACAAAGATGCTGAATTTTATTTTTAGTATGATGTTACTTGAACTAGTAATATCGAAATGATTAATTCCAGTTTCGTATTTTTCAATGATCAATATTACAAAAGTAATAAATATCTGAAATTATTTTAAATATTAGTAGTTTCACTTGCACGTTATATATGACGAATGTCAGCAGACATTTAAAAACATTTATTGTTATAATCTTTACAAAAATTACGTATCAATCAGAAAATGGTTTCTTCTTATTAAAAACATTGTCAAACATTTAATAGATAAGTATTTGTAATTATATGAATACAATGGGTACATATCTGCGTAAAAGAACGTACCACTAATAAAACGAAGCAAATTCCCGGCGACAAATGGAAAATTCCCAAAGTTTTCCTAGAAATGTTTCTATCACCTATGACCCATTTCACATAACATTCAAACAAATTCCATTGAAATCTATGAATTCAAATATAGTATTGTAGTAAGTACTTATGCAGACAAATTGCCTTTACACTTTCCACCAAAAATATGAAGGGCACAATGACACCTCTATACAGAGTTAACGTTAACCCTCTAAAGACCAAATTGTTTTCGTGACTATAAAAAAATGTATATAACACAAAATTAATATTGTATCCAATAATTTTACCAATTCTACAAAAATGAATATACCTTACAATTTCTAAATGACAATGACCTCAATCATTCACGTCTAAAACATAAAAGTTAAAGTTAATTAATTACTCGATTCTATTCGCCACTTTACTATGCGGTACATCAGTACACGATTTCAAAATCACGCGAACCTATAAACCGCTAAAATATTACTACACAAAGAGAAGGTCAACAATGACCACTAAAAACAATATAGTTTATCAGTACACGGTTAAATCTCACCCAGCGCGTATCGTAGCCCGTTCCCCGAATGCAGAGCGTTCCAGCTGATTCAGTAGTAGTCCCGGCATCATCCGGAACAAGAAGCGAAAAAAGACGTCTCGGGAAACGGACGAACTCAATCTATATGCAAATGCGTTCATCTTTTATCTCGAGTATGAGCAATCGATGGACGGTTGTCCGTGGCCCGTTCCGTTGCAGCTCCGAGACCATTGCACAATGAACGAACCGGCGGGATATCGAATCTAAGCACTGAAAGCAACGTATAAATAATGCTTGGTAATGGGATGCGCATATTCCCGGATTATTATTGGCTTTCACGGAAAGTGAAGCGTGGCCGTGGGTTACGGTAATAGCAACCGGGCGGAATAAAGCGGCCACGAGTTAAAGCGAATTAGCTTTATATCTCACTAAATATGCCCGGGCCTCGCCACGTTCATTGCATCGCATCGCATCGCATCGCATCGCATCGCATCGCATCGTATCGCATCGTGGTTGCGCCGCGCTACGTCGGGGATCATAAGAAACCGGAAAAATCTGATTGCCCCGCGCAGCTCCTTCGCGAAGCGTTTTACGCTTCCACGTTATTTCACTTTTATCCGTGACGCGGGCATTAACCAGCCCGCGAGTATTTAGTTTCACAACATCGCGGCGCGGCCCGCCGAACGCATTAAAACAAGAACCATCTCGGAAATTTATGGGACACCTCGCCGCGTCGTTTTTATTATTAGATCACGGGGACGCGGACGCGGACGTTTCAATTACACTTCGGAACTGTTTCTGATACGAACCGACTGGTCGGCGATCGCGGTTAACACGTTCAACGCCGCACGATTTCACCGAGCGGGATATGATAAATGGAACAAATGGAATATTAAGACGTTTGATTGAATTGCGCTGGGTAGCGTTATTTAGAATATAGAAACGTTTAGAAGTGATCGTCGTTTAATTGACAGTATAGTAATGCGATTTGGTTTGGGTCGCCGGTGACTCCCGTGGCATTCAACGTGTCGACAGGAGATTTATGGCACCCGTCGATTTGACGTGTATTGAGTTTTATACTAGGTTATTTGGGAATTGTTAATTCGTTATTTTGATCGATGCAGTTGAACGAATAGTGTTGGGAATATTCGAAAGAACTTTGGAGTTAGGTTTATGGAACCCGTTGATTTTACGTGTATTGAGTTTTATGTAACATTGTTTGGTAACCCTTTGTAGTCATTTCGATTGATGCAGATGAGCGAATAATGTTAGAAATATTCAAAGAACTTTGGAACATTCATTATTTATTTGATGAATCGACAACAGTTTTGTTTTGGTATCGTCTTTGTAATTCTCTGAATTGGGTAAAATGAAATTTATCCATTTTAGAATATTTATTTCTCTTGGTGTAATTTATTAAATAATCATCCTGTTGTTACAATTAAATAAAGTGATGATATATACAATTAACCCTATTACACGATTGGCATTAACACAAAGTCAAATTCATGCTTGTTACAGTCACGGTAAATGAATCATCCTTTAGTACATCGTAAATCAATCATACATACATTATGAACACATGAATTTCTATTAACCATTTTAACTCGAAAGATGACTTTCAGTCACCATTTCATTTCATATTCCAAAATTATAAACCCTTGCACACAATATTAAGCTTCGTGTAATCCGTAAATATGTGAAATACTGAAACTTTGCCTCTTAACTTATGTATATTCCCTCAATCAGTTCATTTTAAAGAATATCATCTATAACACATTGAAAAGTATTGAATATTTCTACCCAAAGACTTCCGAGTGCAAAGGGTTAAACTGCTTTAAATTACCATATACACACTTATCTTCTATTTATCTCCATCGAGTATTAACCCTTTCCATTCGAAAGTTTTTCACCAGAAATATTGAACATTTTTCGAGATTTGGGCGACATTCTGTAAAACTGACCAATCAGAAAATGTACATAAATGAACAAACAAAGCAATTTTATTTCAATACTTCACATATTGGTGGATTATACAAACCTTAATATATAAAACTTTATTATTTTGCTATATATAAATCAAGCGGCGACTGAAAATCACCTCTCAAGTGCGAAGGGTTAATCTAAATTTCATACAGAAGTCGTTTAAATAATTTTGTGCATTTGTAATTTCATTATTTCTCACGAACACGTAACTGAGTTTCACAAAAATTGATTTGAACCCTCGCAACTTTCGTGTTCCATTTTCGTTACGTAACACGCGTTCAAGATATTTCGCGAGTTTCAACTAGCCGGTATCGTTGACCGGACATTAATAAACGGCCAGTCGATCGATAAGAACACCGAAGGCGAAATTCCGAAAACTATTCGAAGTTCGCGGAACGTCTGATAAGCGTTTCGGTGTATCAGTGAAGCAGACGAGAGTATCGACCCTCGGTGATCGAAACGGAAACACCTCTCATTCCATTCTGACAAGCAAGATCGGACTCTTGACTATAGATTAGCGTGTGGGTTGCCCGAGGCGGCGAGTTTCTCCCTGGGCCGTACCAATCAACCTCTTGAACAGCAATTATTTACCGAAAATGAAAATCATAGGCAACTGTGTGGACTATCCTTCTCGAAAGTTTCCCTTTTTCTGTCTGTATTTTTGAATCGCTGCTTCTCTAATGCAGAGAGGGAATGGAAGAAAAAGACGAATTGAAACCTGTCTGTGAATTTAACCCTTTGCACTCAAGATGCGACTCTCAGTCGCCATTTAATTTAACCCTTTAGCTACTGGCATATATTCACAAATGTGTCTGTTTAAACGGAATACAAAATAAAAAGAAAAGTTGTACAAATGCTGATACATTCATTTCTTATCTATATGTGATGATTTATTTACATAAGATAATAATATACAAGAAAATTAAGAGAATTTTTTATCACTGTTTGAAAATTAACACATCTACCATTAACCTACCATTCCATTCTGAAAAATTATTATCAATATACACCTACTTGAAAATAATGAATTTAATAATTCCTAAAACTTTCTGCATTGCATTACCACCACAATCAATTCTTCATGAATAAATCAAATGAACCAGTTAATTCCCATCACAACAGAATTAACCAGAACTATTTTATCCCTAACAACTCCTAGAAAAAAATAATTCCACATACCTCCCATATCTACATTCCCCCAACACTGAATAATACAAAAATAACACTCAATTTCACCACAAACGAAGAGTAACATAACATTCACATTCGTTCAACTCTGTTCAAAATGTTCACCCCGAGCCTGACACGG